CCAGGAGAACTCAGGGGGAATAAAAGGTAGGTGTAGGACTTAGAAAGAAAGCGCGGCCTACACTTCCTCCTGTGGGCGCCTTCTGGAGCTGAGCCTGGCTGCTCTGGTCACCACTCCTGATGGCTCCCGCCTGCCATCCCAGTCACAGAGGAGGGGCGCTGGCGTTTGTGAGTGTCCACTCCACCCAGGCAAAGGAGAGGCGGGAATGCAGGAGAGAGCGCAGATGCCAAGGAATTGTCCCCAAAGTCACGCAATGCCCTGGGCGAGAACACTGTCACGTCTAGGGCTGTGCATTCTCCACCCTGTAGCATTCAACGTGCGCTCCTAAAGACAGAGAAGTTTTAGGAGCCGAGGGAGTTCTGGTGAAGGCATCTCTACCTCCGGCCAGCCCGCGTTCATTGTCCCGCCTCCCGGGCGTCTGTGGCAAGCCCCAGGCTGCACTGGTCCCCGGGACACCGACAGTGTTCATGTAGCACAGCTCTCGGAACAGCCAGCGTCTTGCTGCCCCCTCCCGTCACCCATGCAGATCAACAAGGTAGACACTCTGTCTGACTCCACAGAAGAGAGCACAGAGCCCCGGGAAGGTCAGTGGGGGAAAGGCTTTCTCAGGCCACCAGCTAAAGACACCTCTCCTTGGTTTCACTGATTTATTTTAAAGATTTATGTAGCCATACAGAACTGGGGTACAGGCCAGAGGTGTGGGGGTGAGAGAACTCACCAGAGTCAGAGTGGGGAGCAGAACAGGCAGATCCACTGAAATACACTGCTGAAGGGAGCAGCAGGCGAGGCAGGAGAGCTCTGCTGGACCATTAGGGCTGAGACTTAATCCCTGGGCCACCATGGGGACCCCAGGACCTTACTCTGTGTCATGGAGATGAGAGCTCAGTCATTTTTTTGCATATATTTTCCTAGCTGGTTTTTTTCTCTGATGATACAAATATGCTTGATTCTCAAGACTGTACTTGCATATCAGATTAATATACAACGCCTTTCACAGTGAATACTGGATATCAGATTGATACACGATGCCTTTCACAATGAATACCGAAATAACTGAATGGCAAGTTTGTGCACATTTCTAACGTCCAGAGTCCCGGCCGCACACACGGTCTTCTTGCAGGAATCTGTGGAGTCCCCAGGTAGGTTTTGATTTCCAGACTCTGCCTCCCCCTGGCCTTCTTTCTCCAGGGTCCCCACTCCCTGTTCAGAGACAGTAGGTCAGCACTGGGAGGGTGGACCTCGACTCTTTAATGCCTTGAATACCTTGTCCCATTTAATTCACATAGCCTAGGAGGGCAGAATTGCTTGACACCAGAATTCATAGTAGTGGCATGAGTCAAAGTCACAGAGCTAGGAAATAGAATTCACACTTGGACTTGGCTCAGTGTTACCCCAAGGCCCTTTCCACTCTGCTGGAAGGGTTCAAGTCCACTGACAGTTGCCCACGCTTTAGGATGGTGATGGGTCTGGAGGTTTTTTCCTTTGCAAAATTCTTTTAGATTTTGATGACATCTCCCTAAATTAAATAAACTTCTATTTTTTTATTTTTCATTAACTTTTTCATATATATAAGTTTATTTTTACATCATTTTGTGCCTTTTTCCATCTCATTTAAAATTTTTAAAAAAGATTTATTTATTTATGCACACAGAACTGGGGTACAGGCCAGAGGTGCAGGGGTGGTGAAAGGCTTCACCAGAGACAGAGTGGGAGCAGTACAGGTTGATTGTACACTGCTGAGGGGAGCAGGGGTGAGACAGGAGGGGTCTGCATGCCATGTCGGTCACTCCCTGTCTTGGAATCGATCTCAGGCTGAAGTGGCTTTAGCTTCTTCTTGTGCTGTGCTTTAACCCACTGCGCCACCAGGGAGGGCCCAGAAACTTTTATGTTTAATAGAAAGCATTTTGAAGGCGTTGATACTTGAAACCATCCTTCACAGCGGAATCTGATGTCACAAAGCTCATGCTGAAAAAAGAGTGAGACTCTGACTTTGGCATATGTATCAGGAAGCTTATCTTTCGGCCATCTCCAGGGCAAGATGCTAATTCTGATGAGGATGAAGACAGAAGCGCTTTGGGTGGGCCAGGGTGGGGGCCAGACAGATGCCAGCGAGCCACAGCCCCTGGAGGACCATCTGCCGCCCTTCGCCAGGCCGTCCGGAGATAACTAAGCCCCCTCCCGCCTCTGCCGTCGCTTTTCTTATTATGGGAGAAAAATGAAGACCAACTGCAAATCACCGTGGCCATTTAGGTATATTTATCTTGCTGTCAGCCACAAGCAGGCTCTGTCCCAATGTTCCAGGCTAATTAGAACTTGTCCTCGGAATAGATGCACTCTGGATATTGCAAGTGGGGGAGCAGGTATTAATCTGCTACTAACACGGGACCGTGAGTCAGGGTGACACAGGTGGGGTGAGGGGCCTGGCCGGTGCTGACAGAGACCTCCAGTTTGGCGCAGCAAGGCCACTGTGCCTCGAGAACCCACACGTGTGTCTCGAGAGGATGTCACGCTCCTTGACCACCGTGTTCATCCTGTAACTTCAGGTCATCAAGGACCCTCTTTCCTTCTAGGGAATCACCTTGTGTGACTTTGATGAGATAGCAGCCTCCTGCCCCAGCCCCAGTGCAAAGGTCACAGCTGGCCCAAATTTGGCCCATGGAACCCCCTCTCTCCTGAGACCCGTCTTGAGTGCAGGCATGACAGCACAGAACAACAGCGCTGGGACAAGGTGGCTTGAAAGTCCCTGCTCTGGACCCTTGCAGGGCCCCTCTGGACCTTGCCCCCGAGACTTTCATCTTCCTGCTGAGCAATAAGTCCCCCTTTCCAGCTAAATTAACTAGAGCTGGGTTCTTCATCTACAGCCCTGATGGATAAGGCCTCTCTGTAGTGGGGTTTCATGAAGTCCTGGCTATGATTTCAGGCAAGGGAACTAGAGGGAGGTCAGGGGTGGTAGAGGCCTGCTGAGGGCTGGCGAGGGCAAGGGGTGTCGGGTCCCATGGAGATCAAGGACAAGAAAAAGAAGACTCCCACACAGGACCCCAAAGATATACAAGAAATATTCACTTCGTGATCACAGATAGTTTTCGCAAGAAACTTGATAGTC